ACCAAAGTTACAATGGCAGTGAAAAACATGACCATTTTTCACACTTCAATGAGGAAGACAGATTCCATTCACTAACTTTATTAACTTAACAACTGCAGTGATCCACTTAACAGTGGTAAGAAAGGTTATAAAATGGGTCAAAGCTCACTTAACAACTGTCTGGCTTAGCACAGAAATTTGGGGCTCAATTGTGGTCATAAGTCGAGGATTACCTGTAACTCAAGCTTTATATACAAGCTACAAAAATAGTTGATATAAACATGTGATAGTCTGTTCTCTTTTTTCTCACTCTTTTCTTTCCAAGTTAAACTGTAGATAAGCGTTGCTTTGATTGCATCTTATCTTAGTTCAGAGGCCAGATAAAAACATTTCAGGCTATGAGGCTGATAAGTCTGTTGTAAGGTGCCAAATTTTGTATTGCCGTATTTTTCAGAGTATAAGACGCACCTTTTTTCCTCAAAAAAAAAAAAGAGGCTGAAAATCTGGGTGCGTCTTATACATCGAATACAGCATTTTTTGCCTCCCGCAACCCTGCCCCTTCACCAAAATGGCCGTACATACCCTTATGGAGGCTTTCAGAGTGCTCCTGGAGGCTGGGGAAGGCAGAAATCAGCAAAAATGGGCCGTTTTTGCCCCTCCAGCCCCCAGCAGCACTTTATAAGCTTCCATAAGGCTATGCATGCAATTTTTTTCACAAAAAAACAGACCAATTTTCACAAAAAATGGGCCGTTTTTTGCTCGTTTTTTGCCCCCAGGAGCACTGTACAAGCCTCCCTCAAGGCTATTCATGCCTTTTTAAAAAAAACGGGCCCATTTTAGTGAAAAACGGGCCGTTTTTGGGAGGTTTGCAGAGTGCAAAAACTTTTTTTTTCCCTTTTGGAAAGCTCTTTGATGACAATTACATTGATCAAGTGCTGTGCCAGCAGAAACAAAGTCTTAGGTGCTGCAGATAGTCAGACTGCAGATTTGGAATGTGAGTAGAATGCGTAGCAATCATTCACCTACGTACTAACTCACACTCACTATTTGTGTGGCACTTATTCACAAAGGTTCTGAGTGCTTAAGGATCATTAGGAGGGAAGGGAACAAACCAGAAATCTTGCCCTTGCAATAATATTTTTAAAAGATCATAATGACTAGTGTTTTGCCCCCTTTTCTTCCTAGAAATTTCCTAATTTTATTTTATCCCATTGAACTTCTTTTCATAGTGAGTTATTTGAAGTGAATCACATCCGGACCATCTACCACATGTTTATTGCTCTCCTCGTGTTGTTCATCCTCAGCACACTCGTAGTGGACTTCATTGACGAGGGAAGGTAAGGATGTTTTGAAAACGTTAGCTGGAGGCAGAGTTGGTACTGCATTTTGGCATTGGACACCTGAATCACTGGCAGCTCTTCTCTATTAATGAATAAAATGTGGCAGGATTACTCACACAACTCTTTGTGTAGAGGAGGAAAGCTGCAGAGAACTCCATGATTATATTTACAGAGATTGTTACAACAAAGGCACGTTGCCAAGGATGTGTCCTTGCCAAGGTTCTGAAATCTGTCCTTGAGGTCCTTGGGTACATTTGAATGATACTATGTTGTTTGATATTTTATAGTAGCCTTTCTCAGTGTGGCATCTGCTAGTTACATCGTCTAAGTCTAGTAGAAATTGTAAGCCAACATATCCGGTCCACACTGAAGTAATGAAGACTGCTTAAAAAGNCTCTTCTGTAGGTGTGGCCTGCTTTCCGGGTCCACTGGTGGAATCTCTTCTAACCGGTTCGGTAGATTTGACGAACCGGTTCTACCCAATAGGTGCGAACTGGTAGGAACCCACCTCTGTTAACACGGCTTAATTTATAGTCATGAATTGTATTACAGCAGAGATTTAGATCATCTGTGCCTTTTTCATGAGTAGTGTAAGATAGAGTCCTTGGAAAATATGCAAGAGTTACAAAGGAACAACCATTTCCAAGATTTGATATTCTATCATTTGTTTGTTTCCTAACACTCGAGGTCATGTGAATAACTTCCAAGAATAGTTAGAAGCTAACTATTGAATGAGAACTACAGTCTTCCAAAATAGAAGCACAATTAGTTAGGCAAGTGGCTAGAAATATTTATGTATTACATGCTGACTTTGTTGGGAATTACTGTGCCTTGAGAGTGTTAATATGACTTGGCTTTGAGTGTTGAAAAGTAATATCAATTGTACTTAATATTTAATTCTGCAAGTGAAATATAAAAGATAAACATAGCTATCTTATATTTAACCCATTCACCTGCCTTGTTCAGGATGCAAATCTCCGGTGTGTTGATTTGGAAGCCAAAATATTTATTTCCTTGCCTATGTTATAGGAATGGGATCTGGAACTATTTTAACACAACTTAAAAAATGGAATAGTCACATTAATGGCTTTTTAAATAAAGGATGTACAGGGGAAAAAATTCAATTGCAATCTCATTCTTGCTGAAGAATGTTCTAATAGCATGCTTATGTCCAGGAGTTTTGAGAGTGGGAAAAATGCATTTTATACAGTTTTTGCAATAGCATGTTTTATGTGAGCAATAATTGAAGAATGGGTCCTATTTTTTAAAAGCCATTTTAATGCATATTATAGCTTTGAGACATTTAAAATTCATGAGAAAATAACCTTGGGTATTTTTCTTATTGACGTAATATAAATATATTTTATCTGTACCACCTGAACCTGTAAAAGTAGAATCTATATGCTTAAATATTAAAACAGCTAATTCCTGCCATTATAGAAAACCATAATGTTGGGGAGAAAATTAGGCTAAAATTCTGCTTTTGATATATGTTTTCTTCTTTTTTATTAAATTCCCAGAGTAGTTCTTCAAAATTTTCTGTGCCAATTACCTTAAATTCTTAAGATTAAAAATATCTATTTTTCTATAATGTATAACAATTCCTTTGAGGAAGGGAACATTTTGACTTTGGAAGAGTTATTTTTCTGATAGATAACAAAATAATAGAATTGCCATGCTTATACAGGTGAGTGCATAATTGGGGTGTAGGGGTGTGTGCCTCTAATTTCCTATATGGATTTTAACATAGTATACTTTTAGATATATATTTTTTCCTGCACGGATGTTATAGTGATGTTTTCAAGATATGTAGTAAAGTATGGTTACTGTTTGAAGATGACAAAACATGGTTTGTTTTTCCTTAGGTCGAATTGATGTTGATCATGCAATAACAAGAAAGATGCGACTCTTAGCAGAAGCAGAGGTAAATAAATGTCACCAACAAATTTTTTGGGGTTATATATTGCTCTGCCTATCTGTTTACAAGCAAGTAAACGGTCAATGTCGACTGGCAACCACGCGGAGGAGAGCCTTCTCGGTGGCAGCTCCGACCCTATGGA